GGGCTTTGCCCGAAATGGCTTGAATTTCTGCCCAAAGACAGCGCTGTGTTCCGGGTTACCGCAGTTCTGCTGCCGGTTTTAATCAGGCGGCGTGACGATCCCGTGTTAAAATGGAAGTTCACCTTTCTTCCTGGAACAAAATACTTATTGTAAGGAATCAGAGAAAAGGACAGCCGCATTAATATGACCCGCTGGTGTATTATAGTCACATCTAGCTCTATCTGCACGGTTATGAAGGGCCGAAGTTATATAGGCCTTGTCATCATTTTTCTTTTATTCTGGTATTTAATCCTGTCAGTTTTAATCAGTAGAGCTGGACTTGTGAAGCACTTCTGTCAGAACCAGGATCTCGCATTAAGTCTGCCTGTCCGAGAACTGATTTGGACGCATCACGATGAGGAACTACTTGACCTTAACATCTATAATAACCCTCTTCAAACAAATTCCAAAGCAGTTCTCCCAACAGTGAGCTGTACAGGAATTTTCTGTCGGCTACAAGTTGTCGGTAAACTTAAACAGTGCCATGACAGCATAGCTAGCAATGTTAGACGCTTGTTAGCATTTGGCATTATCTCTTAAGGTTTGTTTCACAATATAATGCCTGCCTCTCCCAAAATTCCAGCCAAAGTATTCAAGTTTTACAACATAATTATCTATAATTAGATAGAATGGGATGTTTTCCTGATTACTTGACCAAAAATGGCTCTCGTGGAGTTTTTTGTTTGTTTTCTGGGGGGTGGTGTTATAATTTTACTTCTCTGTCTTCAGAAAGTTCTGTTTTATCTAATACAGAACTTATTGCTGTGCTTTAAGTTATTAATATTACAAGCTGAGGGTGGCTCGCAGCTAAGATCTGAGGTAAAAGTACTGCTTTTTGATTTCACGGAAGAACTGAATTTAGAATATCTCCCCCCCCCCCCCCCCCCCCCATTTCTGTGTTTGAGAAAAAGCACTTCCAAGAGCGGTCAGATGTGAGAACACTGAAGATAAATACTGTTCTTCACTGTCAGTCAGGCTCAGTGGGTCCACCTCTTGGTAGTATGACAACCACCATAGGTTACTTTTTCACACAAGTTGTGGCTTAGGAATAAAAACTTCTCATCCTGTAAAATCTTCCCTCTAAAGACTGTTCATGTTTTCATATTGAGGAGAATAGTGCACTTGTTAGATACAGAAATACTTTATACCACATCTAAATAGGGGGGGTTTTTTTTTGGGGGGGGAAATCCTTGTGCTCCCTCTCCCCCCCCCCTTGATTCCACCCTGCAGAATTCCACAGATAGTCCCGTGCATTACTCCAGAAAAACTGAAGCAGTGGCTTCAGAATAATGCATTTTAATGTAGAAATGTTAAGATCGCTTCTTCAAACAGATTCTCTGTACAGTGATCAGTGCGCTTTTTGCTCTTATATGGTAATACTGAGACAGTGATAGTCAAAATACTGGGGGGAAAAAAGTCAATCTGCCATCAGAATTTGAATTTTAATTTAAAATTTCTACTCACTGTAGTGAAATACTACTACTCATTGAGTAGAAATTATTATTACTTGTTTAATAATAATTTTTAAAATTGACCTCTTCTGAATTGCTGTGTTAATTTTCCAGAGATCTCGCTATATAATAGCAAATAATGTATGATTAAATGGTCTCAGGGTTTCTGTAACATGATTTGACACCCTGGAATTGCTCTACTTCATAGCTGTAAAGAATGCTACCAATTACTAAAATGATAATCTATATTGCTTGCGCAAGTATTGCGGGTTTTTTGGGGGGTGTATGGAGGAGTGGGAAATTACTTTTTTTTTTTTTTTTTTTTAATGATGCTGTGTTAAGCTTTTTTCCTTCCCACTGCAATGAATTTATCTGTTATC